ATTTTTCGGGCTGGGCATCGGGCAGGGGGCATGCCCTGCCCAGCCTGCCCATGAACACCCCTAGTTTCAGCAATGGATTAGTGACTCCCTGTTTTAGGAACAAAAGAAAGAATAGCAGTCCCTGCAGGATTTTATTCATAGTTACAGTTTACTTATTTTCCTCAAAGGCGCATGATTTTGATGCATACTTTAGTATTTTCAATATATTGTGAAGTAATCATTGTCCCCTTGATATGAGTAATGATTTGTTGTTCTAATTCTCAAATCTTCGCATTCACTTGACTGCTCAAATATGGCATGTATTATTGCTACGGTGATGGTGTTTTTTATTTTTAGATCAGTTTTTTATCATTATTATTATGTATAACGAACCAAAGGACTTTTTGTTAATTTAAAAGTATTGCAAAGGCCCAAATAATAAAGAGAAAATGTGGTGCCCAAAAAAGAAAAAATGAGGCCATCTTGGCCCAATAGAAAGGGTCCAATTTGAAGGGGTGGGGAAAAAAAGGGATGAGATGTCCCTGTCCCGTCCTGGTCTCGACAGGACATGGGACAAAATCTCTGTCCTATCCCTGTTCACAAGGACGGGCCTGTCCTGGTCCCATCCCATCCCATGAACACTCTTACTCCCTCCTCGTATCTCCCACCCCTCACCTCTTGTTCTTAACTGTAATATCCTCTCTTTTTCTTCTTCTTCTTCTTTCATGGCGTTGCTTCTAATATCCAGCTCGATCATAAACTTGTTCCTCTGCTACCAGTTATATATAGCTCCTACGCTTTAGGCTGTCGTGTGCCTGTACCCTTGGCTCGTGGTCGACAACCTCTACAACATCAGGCCTCTTAGGATCCGCTGCTTCACCGAGTGGGCTTAATCCCGAAAATATGGCTCTTCTTCGATGGTTCTATGTTTGTTTCCTCTTTTATTATACTACCTCCAGTGCTAATTATAAGAGCTAGTTGACTAATTTGAGGAGATTATGGAAAAAAGTTAAGTTAGTTATTTGTCATAAATAGGTGTTATCTTTCCTAAAATATCTTTACTAATCAAATGTATTGGTTAGAATTACTATTGTTAGAAGGGCTATCTTGAAAAAAAATGTATAGATATTAGAAACAAAGTGAATTGGGGTCTTATATTTAGGACCAAAATAAAAGTCAAATGAGGTCCTATATTAAGGACCGAAGGTAGTATAATATATTTAAAAGATATCAGTTTATTATTTTTTCACACCAACTTCCACCTTATCGGCACACCTTAGCTAGTTTTTTGGGGTTGCACTGATTCAAGTCCTTTTCAAAGTTCAAGGACTAACAATACAAACAGACAAAATTTAAAAGAACCAACAACTACTCTTTGAAACTTCAGAAACTAATGCCAAAATGAAAATAAAGTATGAGGACCAAAAATAGTATTAACTCTATGGACTGCTTTTATTTCTCAAATGATATGTCTTGTGCATATTATTTGGAAGAAAAGGGATCATACTGTTTTACATCATGCAAAAAGAGACTGCCCTTCGACAATAATTAGGGAAGTAATGCAAATTGCGAACTTTTAAGATCTTGAATCCTCAATTTCTTCTCCCATACTAAAAGTTGATAGGCCAAAATCCATTGTTGATTTCAGCCTATCTTTGCACAATGATGAATGGAATTATTTGTTATAATAGTTCTCCCATGCAGGAATTTTTGTGGGAAAATAAAATAATTTTAGGGACAACTTTTCTTTCCAAGTATTTTCGTGCTATTCTTTTCTGAATTCGCAACATAGGACTCTGACAACCTGATCCTAAAAGGTCCTTTAACTTTAGGACATTCCAATTTAGTTTTTTATTATTATTTCTTAGGAATTCATTTTACTTCATTGGCTATTTGTATTTGTAAACTTATATTATTTAAATATCATTTTTTTCTTTTATTAAACAAATTATTAAACGTTTTTGAAGTAACTTATGAAATTAACTAACCTTATTTAATACAGCTAGAAATTTTAATTTTTCAATAAGTATAACACGGTTGCCAACTCTTCTTAGCATAGTTTGCCAATAATATTCTAGCAAATTTAGTCAAGAAATTTTTTGAATATTGCCAACTTTCAAAGTACCATGGTTGCCAATTTAGTCAGTAATTAACCTCGTTTAATGCAACTTGAAATTTTAATTTTTCAAGAAGGATAACGTGGTTGCCAACAGTATTCACAGAATCATACTTTTTTTTTGGTCAAAAATTCACAGAATCATACTTAAATTACTAGTTATTTGTAACATGATTGCCAACTTTTATATTCACAACTCTATTAATGTTATTAACTACTTATGATAGGTTCTTGAAATTGAAAAAATTAGTATGAGCCCAACTCTATGATATTAACAGAGTTGCAAATATTGATTGAGTATTGTTAATCATGTTACAAATGTTGAAAAAAAATTTAATTGAAAAACTTAGAAAGCACATGGTAAATAGCATTAATAGAATTTTGAATATCATTATAACAGTTGTTAATTAGGTTACAAATGTTTAAAAAAGTTCTAGTTTAAAAACCTAAAAAACACATGGTAAAACGTTACAAATGTTGAAAGAAATAAAATTTCAATTTAGTCTTTGTGACTAATTTGCAATTTTGCAAATTTAGGTGACTTTTAGGATTTTAGAAATTCAACTATCATTTTTTAAAAAAATATTTTCTTTTATATTCCTCGATATTGTTACATTAATTATCAAGTCAACAAAGAATCCCGGCAATAGGGTAAGCCACTCAATTTTTTTTTTCCCCTCCCAAAAGGGTGCTTCTTAATTGTTTTCCCCAATATTTAAATCCTGTTAATATTGTCCCCACACAAATATATATAAATAAAATACACAATACTTTATTTCAATCAAATTGCTCTCTGACTGTACAAATGCCACTAAAGGGACAAAAGTGCACATTGTACCGGTGTGAACGTATGTACTTATGGACCCGCATTCAGTGAACAAAGAATCATAATTCCACTTCCACGGATATATATTAGTGCTCTGTCCTCAACCATCGCCTGACCTTTGGCCCAAAAAAAAAAAAAGACACTATCGCCTGACCGCCATCAACATTAAAGTAAGAAATTTATGTTATTTTTACGCTTAGTATAGTAGAAGCGAGTTAAGATTTAAATTTAGTTTTAAATATAAAATCTTAGTTTACTTTGTCTCATTTTTTTTAAAAAAAATTCCTATTGATTGTAAGGAATTCCCACTAAGAAATAATTTCAATCATCCAATATTTTATTGCATATGATTGAAGAGGATGATTTAAGAAGACTAACATATATTTATGATAAATAACTAACTTAACTAATTTTTTTAATGTCATCAAATTAGTTATCTAGCTCTTATATTAAGGACTGAAATTAATATTTGCTAATATATATGCCTCTGGTCCTATTTATAGAGCAGAAAGAGAAGACATTTTTTACTCCTATTTATAGGGTACTGAAAGAAATTTTCCATACAAATATACAATTTTACCTTTCATTTATCATTGTATTGACTTTATCTACATGGGATATGATATATATTAAATAAAGATAAAGTTGAAAAGTTGTTAAATTTTAAAGAAGACTTAATAAATTTTTTTTTATTTGTATAGAAGTGACTTATAAATAAGACTAGAGAAATATATATATGTGTGTGTATTAATTTTATATAATTAAACACATGCACAAAAACATATCAAGACCAGGCCATGCTTGAGTCTATGGTCTCATTTAAACTAGACAAGTGGCGTTAACACTGGGACATATATATATATATATATATATATATATACATATTTATATACTTGAGTTCCAAAATAATTAAGTTTCTTTAATTATATTTATATTGCGCAAGGGTATGAGGTATGTTCAATGTTCATCACATCTAAATGTTATGTATGTATGACTTCCGTATTTAGATCTTAATTTACAGTAGTGTTTCTTTGTTTTTTTTTATATATATATAATTTTAAGTGGTCACCTTCTTTTAGTTGATGAAGTTAAGGAACCTCACACAAAGTTTGTACAAAAGTGATTATGGAGAATTTTAATTTGAAAATGTGAGCAAAAGCTAATGTGAACGAAATGAAAACGAATAATAAACAACTAAAGCAAAAGAGAACAAAATTATGAAAGAGAGAAAAAGAAAAACGCGTAGAGGAATAATGCTGAAAGCATCAATGATATGGATGGCAGAATCACCAAGGGATCGTAAACTGGACTCTTTATTAAATTAATCGAAATATTGGTTTAGAGATTATTGGTCGAATACGGGTTAAATCGTTTGTATGTGTGTATTTAACTATTAACTATTTATATAAAATATTGGGAAAATAAAAATTAAAAACAATATAATGGAGGAAATATAAAAGTCATAGATAATAAACAGACAGTGCATTATTGGAATATTACTTAAAAATTTTAAAACAAAAAAGTGAGAATGCGATTTAAAAGATTGCTACAAATTTTTATCATAATTTTTCAGGAGTTCTCTTCTATGGTTTTTTTTTTTATCTCTTATTTTCCTTCTGCCTCTCTTATCTTCTTCTTCTCTCTCCAAGCTCTCGCATTTCTTTGGACAACTTGTCCAACTCATTGAATCGTCCAGAGTTACATTGAGTCAATTCCAAGTTCACATTGGTCACTTGCTTTTCACAATTCAATTGATTTATCGGATAGATTAATTAAGTGATTAGATTATTAGTCCGACTACCTAACTCGATCTAAGTATCTATTTATTAGAGTAAATCATTTTATCGTAAACATAACATACATACAAACCCCGATATGAACACATGATTTTTTTTTTTTTGAAAAAAATCATAGCCATCTATTTTTTGAGTCAACTTATCTGCACTTATCTCTAATCAAGCACCATTAAAAAAAAATAAAGAATAAAATCAAAAGAAAAGAGAGCTCTTCTTTTAGTGGACGTACATCACATGGCCTTATATAAGGTAGGGGAAAGGGTTCAAATGGTGGAAGCAAGGGAAAGAGAAAAAGTAAGCAGTTTAATTAATGGAAGGCATCATGTGGTGGTGTTGTGTTATGATGTTTATTACGCTGATGATGATGAGCTTGAGAGCAGAAGGGCAACTCAAAGCTGGCTTTTATTCATCTTCATGTCCATCTGCAGAAGCCATAGTAAGATCAACCGTAGAATCTCACTTCAATAAAGATCCCACCGTTGCTCCTTCCCTTCTCAGGCTTCACTTCCATGACTGCTTCGTCCAGGTTTCACCATATCATTTCTATCTCTTCAGTTTAGGGAGGTTGACTTGTTGATTAAGAGATGATTATTATTGTTAATCATTAATTAATGTGTTTGATAATTATTATGATTAACAGGGATGTGATGGATCCATATTGATATCAGGATCATCGGCAGAGAAGAATGCTTTAGCAAACACTGGTTTAAGAGGCTTTGAAGTCATTGACGATGCCAAATCTCAGCTTGAAGCTTCTTGCTCTGCTGTTGTATCCTGTGCGGACGTTTTAGCTTTGGCTGCTCGTGACGCTGTCATTTTGGTACGCTTATCACCCCTCTGAAAAAATCTTTGGCTAAATTACACTAAATTTCCCCAAACTTTTGATATATATAAATAATCTCTTTAACCTTTGAAATTTTGTAATAAACCTTCCTGAACTTTTACATTTACACACACAAGTCCCATGCTTTTAGTTTTAGTTATTATCTTTTTGCAAATGGCTCACATGTACCATGAAATTTATCTACATACAACTCAAATTTTGACAGGTTATATATATAAAAAAGGTTAAGATGCATTTTAAAATATTTTTTATATGCATCCAATATTTTGAAATATTTTTTCAGATGTGTTCATGAAATATTTTTTGATGCATTTAGTATTTTAAAGTAATTTTTTAGGTGTATTCAGTATCCTAAAATAATTTTTAGTACATCAAATGTCAAAAGGTGGGTTTCTTACTTAGTGCTTTGCGCTAAGGGAACTCTTACTATTTATTAGCTTGGCTAGTGTTCCGAGAGAATCTAGTCATTTAGTCAGTTCATTGCAATCTCTGTAAAGCAAGGGGCAAAGCTTTTATACCTAGACAAAAATTACTTCAAAGTACTAGACATAATTTAAAAATATTTTAAGATGTTAAATATATTACAAAATATTTAAAAGTGTTGGATACACCTTACTCACGTATAAAAATTAAAGTTTCAAGGGTGTAAAAATCATGGTTTCGGTTAAGGAGATTATTTTGTATATAACTCTCAAGTTTTTCTCAACAAATATTTCTCTCCTCAAAATTTTATGGGCCTAAAATAGCTCTTTGAAATATGGAAGACTGGTGGGCCCAGCTGGTCAGTACCAACGGGAAGAAGAGACGGCACCGTTTCATTGTCATCTCAAGCCTCCAACTTGCCTTCCCCCCTCGACCCAGTTTCAGTACAGAGGCAAAAGTTCTCTGCAAAAGGCCTCGACGATCATGACCTCGTTACCCTCCTTGGTATTCTCTTCCTCCAAACAGTCCCTTAACACCTAATTAATCATCTTCATGAACCAATCTGTTTAATTCTTTTGCTTGTATACATACAGGGGCTCACACTATAGGCCAAACAGACTGCAGATTCTTCAGCTACCGTTTATACAACTTCACCACTGCCGGAAACTCCGATCCGACGATAAACCAAGCTTTCTTGGGGCAGCTTCAAGCTCTGTGTCCCAAGAACGGAGACGGGTTGAGGAAGGTGCCGTTGGACAGAGACAGTGCGGCGAAGTTCGACGTGAGCTTCTTCAAGAACGTGCGTGACGGTAATGGGGTTTTGGAGTCTGATCAGAGGCTGTGGGGGGACTCTGCAACACGAGGTGTGGTGCAGAAATATGCAGGGACTGTGAGAGGCTTGTTTGGGCTGAGGTTTGAGTTTGAGTTCCCCAAAGCCATGATCAAGATGAGCAGCATTGAGGTGAAGACTGGAAGTCAAGGAGAGATTAGAAAAGTGTGCTCTAAGTTTAATTGAAGATGGATATGCGTAAATGGAAAGTTGGAAACTCATGATTGCGCTGTTGTCGGTATAAAGTACTATGATTTTCTATTATATGTTTGGTTTGGGGGAAAATATTTGCTGAGGGGAAAAGATTTTCGTGTTTTCATGTAAAAGAATAAGAAAAGCTTTGAGCTTTCGTGATTCAAGAAACGCACGAATAAGGCAACTTTTTTGGAAAAGTTCTGAGCTTTCGTGATTCCAGGAACGTGTACGGCAATTTTTCTATCCAGCTGGCGAAGACAAAACGAGTATTTTATTACTTTGTAAAAGAGCCACTAAAAACCGTATTCGTCGACTCTGAGATACGAACTCTCGCGGGCAAACCCCACGTAAGCAGGCACACGCCTTAACCACTCGGCCAAAGCGACCGAGTTGCCAACAAAGCTGCCACAACTGATAACATTACTTTAACTTGTTAGGTGCTTTATTGTCAGAAACTTAGAATCACTAGCATTAGCCATAATATTTATTGGGTTTGATTTCAAATTTACCCTAAAAGTTTAATATTGTATTAATATTACCCTCATACTATTCAAAACGTTAACAATTAAGATCAGCATTTGAACAGTGAATGGTAGGTGGTGATATTATTACGATTTGTTCATGACAAATTTGTACCTAAAAAACTTCTTAATATTAAGTACTTTTGAGTGAAAATTTTTAAAACAAATTTGCATCTTATTTCATTTTTAATCTAGGGAAGTTAAATATTTCTTGATGTTTGATTATTTTACTTCTTGTGAACAAAAGTTAGGAAATTAAGAGGTATAAATTTTTGAAAATCCTTTTCAATGTCTTCTTGTCTCTCTAAATTTTCCATATAGAGTTACCACATTGATATTGATATAGTGCTTTCAGTTTACAGAAACAATTAAAGATAAATAATGTATAGATCTCAGGTAAGCAAATTAATTACTACTACCTTAGGACTTTATTTATAGTTTATAAATATGGTCTTATAATTAAGGTTAAGTAGTATTAAGTTATCTGATTCTGACTTATTACTAAGACATAGCTTGTGCCAAAAGAAAAAGTGTAGAATAAGTTGTAAATTTTTAGATATGACTCGTGAATTTTTTATTTTTTATTTTTCAAATTCTTTGGTTTGGGCTTAATTGAAAACTTTTCACAAGTCCTCACCTGGTGTTTATGAGTTAAATTGAGAAATTTGCAATGACGATGTGTGTTTTTATAATCAAATCAGATATTGCTTCAAAAATAAATGTAAGACTCATTTCCACTACAAAATAAATTTTATATTTAAAATTATAGGAGAATATTCATTCCAATGCCGTAGCTGACTTATTTGGTTGGCCATTTACTAACTCCAGCCAGCACGTCATCAAGTGAACAGTTTTCTTAAACAAAAAAATTGGATCATTAAAAAATATTTTTCTAATCCTAAATATAAATTCTTTTATAATGTAAATTATACTATAAAATAGATCTTATATTTATGACTGGAGGAGTAAATAATGCTGTTTTTGATTTGGGATCAACCAAAGCACATGGAGCAAATGGATATACAGCTTTGTTTTACCGATCAGCGTGAAATGATGTAAAAAAAGAGGTACATGTCTATATGATATGGTAAAGAAATTTTTTAGAAAAATTAATCTTTTAATCATTATAGTTTTTACTTATTTATAATTCAATTTTTACACTTTAACTCCATGTAACTCAATTCTTATAGTTTTAACTCGGTTGTAATTCAGTCTGTTAAGTTTGTATCGCTACAACTGGTCCTATACTTTTAATCATTTTATAATCTAGTCCCTCTTTTTATCGGATATATAATTTTATTTTTAAAAAACATAATAACTAAATTATAAAATGGATAAAACTATAGGGACCGAGTTATAACGAGTTAGGGTATGTTTGGATTGACGTTAGGCAAAACTGACTTCTAGTTCAACTAACTTTTATAACTGAAGTTGGAGTGAAAGTCAGTTAGTGTAATGTGATTTATGTTTGGATAAGTACTTATAAAAAGTTAGTTGAAAAAATTAAAAGTTGTTTGGATGATTAATAGAAAAGTTAATTTAGTTGTAAAATGACTGAACAGGGTATGAACTTTATTGAATAGTAGTATTTGAAATTTTATGTTTTTAATATGATAAGAGTTTAAAAAATACATAAACTATTATGATAAAAATATAAATAGTTTATTTGTGAGATTATAAAATAAAAATATTTGTTACAGAGAAAAATTTAAAAAAACATTGTAGATAATTAATTAAATATATATAATAGACAAACATGAGTATAAATTAAAATTTATTTGGTCTCTAATTAAGGTAAATGAAATCATATAACTAATTAGATCATAAGCTTTGCACAATTTTTCCATAAGCCAATTAGAAAAGTTGATCCAAATTGCATTGGATAACACTACAAAAAAACATGCTTTTAGTGACGGAATTAGCGATGAACTAGCGACGGATTAGCGATGGAATTTGTTCCGTCGCTAATTAGTGACGGAAACCGACGGAAATTTCTCGTCGCTAATCCGTCGCTAATTCTTGACAGAAATTTTCGTCGCAAATTAGCAACGGAATTTTTCTGTCGCTAACCCGATTTTTTTAAAAATAAAATAAAATGTCACGTGGCACCTCTACCAATTGCCACGTCATCACTGGGGACCACCTCCACGTGTCTCTGCCACCTCACCTCTACCTGCCACGTGTGTTGCCACCTCACATTTGCCTGCCACGTGTACGGCCGCGTGTCGTCCACCACATAATTTCCGCTTCAAAGTGACTTCTCATTGGCTCGAACCCAGGACCTCCTGTGTGCGCATGCGGCTTTACCAGTTGAGCTGTAATGATCCTGTTGACTTATTATGTAAAATTAAATATATATAATATTATTTTACACAAACAATTATATATATTATTAAAAACTAAAAATATACTATATGATAATTTTAATCATAACTATTTTAATGAAAAAATAATTTTTCAATATTTGTTTTATAATTTTTTATTTTTAATATAATTTTAATTTCTAACCGCACTAATCTTGAATTTTAAATCATAAATAATTTTTTTATAATTATTTTTTAAAATTATTTTTTAATTAACATTGATAAGATATACAATTTAATGATATATGTACTATATTACATTATATTATATTATCTATATGTGTTTTATATATTTGAAGAAAATCATTTATAATTAGTCAAAAAATCTTGTTATTCAAAAAATAACTACTATAATAAAATCTAATAAATTATTCTATATAAAAAATTAAATGATTTGAATAAATTATGATAAACAGTATTCTCCTGCTTGTATATATATCCTATATAATTTATTTTCTTAAAATTTTTTATATGTACCATTTGTTTTTGTATTAAGACCAAAATCAATCTATTATGTGTATTAATTATATCGTGATTAAATTTTATTTTTTAATGATTGAAATTCAAAATTCACTTCAATATTAATTTGCATTTATATAAATTTATTAAATCGTTTTGAATTTCTATCATATATTATATATTTCAATATATTTTACATATGATAAAATTATTTCTTTCTTATATCAGTTTGTATAAAAAAGTTATTAATATTCTTATTGTATTTTTTAATTATTATTAATAATCAAGAGGAATTTATTTTAACAAAATATAAATAAGTTTTCTAAGAAATTATATTTCTATTTTCAGTATATATATAATGATGACATGAATGATGACAATATCTTCATTAACACCAACTCCATAAGTATATCAATTTATTTTATATTAAAAATGTTTTTAAATCATTATATTCTTAATTGTTATAATATATTTTTTGTAAGATTATAATTTAAAATAACAAAATTTAAAATTAGTAACGGATTAACAACAAATTGCGACGGAATAGAATTAGCGACGGAATTAGTGACAAAAACTTCTATGACAAACAATTTAGCGACGGAATTTAGTGATGGACAGAAATTTCGTCACTAATCCGTCACTAATATTAGCGACAGAAAAATTTTGTCGCTAATCTGTCAAAAAAATTAGCGACGGAATTTGTTTCAGTCGCAAATTCCATTGTTAATCAGCTGTTTTTTTGTAGTGTAAGTCAGTTAAAAAAGCTACCTTTTTTCATAACTTAGTTAAAAAAGAAGCCCTATTTAAACAATCTTCTGAGCCACAATAAGTTACAAACCTCAGTTTCACGCTTCCCCGTGTGCTTTTACTATCTGCAATGACAATCCAAACGAGGCCTTAAACTTCAGGGACAAAGTTACAATCGAGTCAAAACTATAAAGACTAAATTGCATCGAGTTAAAGTATAAAAATTGAATTACAAATATGTTAAAACTATAAAGACCAAAAGATTAGTGTTTTCAAAAATTTTTTAAAAGAATTCTGACATCAACAGAATATATTTAATTCACATTGCGTTAGTACCTAGACTTGACAAACCCGGAACAGTGACTCAACTTGGTCTTATTAGTCTTTGTAATGTTTCTTGTAAAATTATTTCAAAGATTATGACTGCTAGGATGAGAAATTTGATGAGTAAATATATCTCATAACAATAGCTAGCTTTTGTAGCAGGATTACGCTGAAGATTAAAAACATTTCCACAACAAAAATTAAATAAGAGAAAAATAAAAAAAATAATTAAATATCCTACAGGTAACTTGGACTAAAGACTAAAAATTTCCCCAAGAAGTGGCTCACACCTTTGTTTTAGATGAATTATGATGATTGAGAAAAGAGAAGGATATTGTCATGTCAATTTCTTTAATTTGGGCTTCTTTTTCACGGCGTTAGTTTATCATGTATTAGGAATTTAGAAAATATACTTATATGACCACATATATAGTTTTTTCTTTATATATTTTCTCATATAATTTATTTTCATACGTGGGTAAGAAGCAAGAGAAAAATCAAATTTAATTTATTATGATAATCATTTAAAAGGCGATCAGCACATATTTTGAAACTTTTTAGAAAATCATAAACATGAAGAAGAAAATTGAATCATAAACCCAAAAAAAAAAAAAAACAGCAGCAAACTGAATCATAAACAAATATGAAAAGTGTGACATCCTAAATTTAATTGGGTTTCACAGTGTTAAGGGTTATTTTAAAGAGGAATAAAGAGAAGTAAATTACTATACCTGATTTATAATATAAGACGTAATTTGGCTAATTAGCAGAGAGTAAAAAATTAAAATAAATTGCCTTAAAGTATTTTATTTATCATTTTTTACAAATTAATTTACTTAAAGTATTTTAGAAAGATCATGTAATACATGTTATAATAATTAAGTTATTTTTAAACTTTCTTGGTTTTATCAAATTAGTCAATTATATCTTATGTTACCTTCGATCTTAATTATAAAACCCTATTTTTAGACACAAATTAAATTTTATAATTAGGATGGGAGGTAGTATCAAGGGCCGAAAGTAATATCAACTATTCAAGTTTATCATAAAAGATTAAAGAAATCAGAGATTTAAAAGTGAATCAAATTGAAGGAAATAATCATGAATAGTTATTTTGTGTGTGTATATATTAAGTAAAAATTGCAATGAAAGATAAAACAAAATTATATACATGTGTATACGTAGTAGTAGTAGTAGTAGTAATAAGACTAAATAGATTAAAATTTAAAATGTTTCAAATATCTTTCTTATATTGAAATTAGTTTTAATAGGAATTTTTTTTGGTAAATTTTTAATAGGAATTTAAATAGCAAATATATACACACAAACCAATGTTAACTGTTGTATCAAAACAATATTGATGGTAATAGTGTGACAAGACAAGGTAAGTTAATAGGCAATATATTTATATATATATATATAACATAAATGGAAATAATAACAGGGGAAAAAAAAAAATGAAAGAAAGCCTACATCAATCCTGTTAAATACGCTCATTTCTTCTATCACTCGCTTACGCTACCACAGCACCAACCCAAGTAGCCGACTCCCTGTATTTTGTAGGTACCTTTCTTTTCTTCTCCTTTTTATCCTTTTATATTCCTCCTCTTATTTCACTGGTACTTTCTTGAGGTATACACTATATGCTGTATCTATATATTTGTATATTACTTTCTCTCTCATCCACGTGTATACATCTCTTTGGCGGTTTAGCCTCTTGTATTTCAATCGTTTTTGACCGCACGAAGGCCAAGAGGTCATCCCTGTTGCCGAGATTCATTTCGTCTTCCAATAGTTGGAGACACCAATCTGGTGCTTCGTGTGGCGTTTGATTTTCTGGTTTCTTGTTGGATGAAACGCCTCATCCTACTCGGCCCGTCGTCGACAAGAAATTGCCATCAATCATCAATCAATAACACTTATTTCTCGTTTAGCCCACTGGGAACACAAATCCATATGCGAAGAGGCACGAGCCGCTCTCCTCGTTGTGTCTGTAGAGTTATTCAGGGCAAAGGAACTATCTTCTTTGCTTGTTTTGACAAAAAAACCATGGCAATCGTAGATTCATGAATTATGCCGTGATGGTATGGGCAAACATTCATTCCCATACTCTGTTCAGTCTCATCCGCCTACCTAATATAATATATGTGTGTGCGTGCGCGTGTGTAATCTTTCTTGTTTTAAATTCACGATTTGGATGACATTCTAATTTAATATTGATTTTCTGTCGCTGTTTCTTCAAGATTACTATATCACACTTTCAATTGCCTGTTACAGTGTCGAGTGAGACTGGTAGATTAATTTCCTTCAAAGGTTTCGTGCACGATTCGTTCATCTTGTGGGTATTTCACTACGTTGTGCTGCCATGACTCCTCCAACCCCAGTTTCTCAATTTAAATCCCTCTTTGGTGAACCCAATATTGCAACACCTCTTCAAAAACCCATCAGTGCCTGTTCAAAACTTGGCTCGCTTTTCTTGCCCAGAAGGTTATCTGTGCAATTTCAGGCTCCTCGTGGCGATTCAAGGATGTCATTGAAGGCTATTACTGTGTCAGCAACCACGGCCGAGAAAGCCAAGAAACCGTATCCTGGTGAATCCAAGGGGTTTGTGGAGGAGATGAGGTTTGTGGCGATGAAATTGCATACCAAGGAGCAGGCTAAAGAGGGAGAGAAGGAGATCAGTCAACCTGAGGAGCGATCAGTGGTCAAGTGGGAACCCACAACTGATGGGTATTTGAGGTTTCTTGTGGATAGCAAATTGGTTTTTGACACACTGGAAAAGATCGTCTCTGATGCTGTTTTTCCTTATTGTGAGTTCAATTTATAAGTTGCTTTTAAAGGGTTCCTTATCTATCTGTCAATCTATCTACCTATATAGTCTGATTATTACTATATTGTTGATCATGGTTTCCTCTTTTTGAGGAACCATTGCTGTCATTTATATTAATCATGTCTGTCCTTTATTGTTTACATGGACCATAAGTTGGTATTCCTTGAATTATCTTATAATTTCTAATGGCTAAATGCTGAAGTTCTTAGTATCTTTCTGTAGATGCTGAGTTCAGAAATACAGGATTGGAAAGGTCTGCAAGCTTGGCAAAAGATCTGGAATGGTTCAGAGAGCAAGGTCATACCATTCCTGAACCTTCTTCTCCGGGTCTTACCTATGCACAGTATCTTAAAGAGTTATCTGTGAAGGATCCCCAGGCCTTTATCTGCCATTTCTACAACATATACTTCGCCCATTTCGCTGGTGGTAGGATGGTTGGGAAGAAGGTAACTGATCATATGCATAATAATCGCTACTCAAAATTCTTGGTTTAACAGAAACTAACTGGTTTAGAAAAGTCTCACTTTTGGACTAGCATGTCAATTGTATGACTCACTTGTTGCTTTGCTTCATCTCCCATGTCGTAATGGCGTCATGATCGTTACTATGATTGTTACATGTTAGATATTGTTCTATAGATGAGAGAAGAAGGTATATTCGAAAATGAAGCAAGAACGTACCTGCTTTCTCTGTTGCATGGGTTGATGCACAAAATTCTACATCTGAGGCCCATAAGGGTATTGTCTATTTGCCAATACAGTCCTCCCTAGAGTTTTGTTGTAAATTTACTCTTTATGATTTGTTTTTACCTTACTCTGTATGCATCTAGTCCAACCTAATGTGAAGGTCTTGAACAATGAAATCTTCAACTTTTCTCGAGTTACTGAGAAAGTTGCATGTGAATGATTTACCACCACTTCTGGGAGGATATATGTTGGTTTCCAGCAATAAATGGAAATCACACTATTGTTGATCCTTCTCATAATCTTAAGACGCAGGCTCTATGGTGTTTTAAAACTTCATTTTCAGTGATTTTCTGGAGCTGAGGGAAAGATTAGTAGTAAATGTTACTTTAGTACTATGCTTAAGGGTTAAGACATTATTTCACTTAAGTTTTCAAGTTTAATCTACAGGTGGCAGAAAAGATACTTGACAAGAAGGAGTTGGAGTTCTATAAATGGGATGGTCAGCTTTCGCAAATGTTACAGAATGTGAGGGACAAGCTGGATAAAGTTGCTGAAGTAAGCTTCTTATACCATAAATCTTTAGCTGTTTTTTCCTTCAGATTTTATGGCTATTGCAATAAGTTGGTTCTATTGCCAGTAGCTGTATATGTCGTGCGGACAAAACTAACAGACGGTCAACAATAAAGAAATTATGACAGATAAAATGGAGCCTATCTTATAAAATTGTGTGCGGAAAAAGTTGATTTGTTTAGGTTTTTGTTATAAATTCTGTTTATTGGTAGCTGCCTTGACGATCGACCATCTAAAGACCATCCAAAGAGCCAATCAGTAGGGTCGAATGTTTGAATACTAGTCGAGTCAATCAGAATTGATTTATTTTCTTAATATTGTTAAAACATTTCGAAATTCAACAGGCTCATATTTTCATCACTACTTGATATCAGTAATTCTTTTTTTCTCATATTATAACACAGTCCTTGAAAATTTTGTTACGCACACACTCCATTGATTCATTGATGCTAAGATTAATACTCAGCCGGAATCAATTATCAACCTAAAACCATTGTTATTTAATAAGTTGCCAGGGGCAATAGTGGCTTATAAGATAACCATAGTTATGTTCATAATCCATTTTGACATGTATAGATATGTCTGGTAACTTGTGAGATAATCATGGATTTCGGTTCAGTTGATTTTGACATAGGGTCTCAATGGATTTTATTAGGAATGGACTCGAGAAGAAAAGAATCATTGTTTGGAAGAAACTGAGAAATCATTCAAGCTTTCAGGCGAAGTTCTGCGTCTGATAATAGTGTCATGATAACAGTTGTACTGCTTGCTATTTGGGTAATTATTGTGTAAATAATGGCAAAGCTTAGAACATTGTGTGACCTGCATATTATGTTATTTTCAATTCATAAGGTTGCCTATATTTGTAATTATGCATGTTGACAGCTCCGTTTAACGAGTAAGCATTGTTTTCAACTTCTGAATTGCAAAAGTTATCGCACTTCAATGGTAGATAACCCATTAAATATGTCTCATGGAAATTTTTTCAAATTTACTCATGAATGAGGTTGCGAAATAAAGTGAAAAACACTTGGGTTTAAGTATTAATTGCAGAAATGAAATTAACAAATAATCACTATTTATTGTTTAAATGATTTATATTTTGAACTAAACAATTCTTAGGAAATAGGAGGAAAAATCTTAATGGGCTTGATTAAAAAAAAAAAATAGAAAAATGGGATTAGAAGTTTTGAATTAATTTTACTTACTCTTTTATCTTACATTTTTTTATAATCCAATTTCTCAAATTTTTTAAATCAAATTCATGAAATTTTTTTCTTCCTTTTATTTATTTCCTCATACCAAACAATATAGTAGAAGCAGTGGGGATACACATGTACCCACACTCAATTCATGAAAGATATTGGGTGTGTGCAAACATTGTTTAATGAGTAAACCAAAAAACCCACTTAGAGAGGAAAAATGAACGTCCAGGTGGCCTGGGAATGTGCGCGAGTAGGATTAGTTAGATGATGGCCCAACAGACATATTGGGCGGACCACTTCGCCTCGAGGCCTGGTTCTAACTTGATTGGCCCAGCGTTAGATGGCTTGATCTCTTGTTATCGAAATAAACCTAATTAACAAAAAAGTCTTGTAGCGAAAAAAAAAGTCATATGTGCAAAGTAGTACAAAAGTAAATAATAATACTAGTAGTAATAGTAATAATAAAGGTTAGTATCATCTTCCGTCTTTAAAATTTGACTTTATTTTTATTTTCATCTTTGAAATTTGAAACTAGTGACTTTGATTTTAGAAATTTGACCTTATTTTGGACCAAAGACTTTTAATCCTTGCCTTATTGTGTTTAGTCCTAAAACAAGGTTTCACCAACCAAAACTAATAGTTTCAAATTTCAAGGATGAAAATAAAATGAAATCAGATTTTAAAAATTGAAGATCATAAGTCAATAAATTAACTCAAACATACTTTTCGTTTATTTTTGTGAACATGTAAATTCTATTCCGAAGAATAAATTTGACCAAATTTTGAAAAAGGTTTTTGATTGTAAAATAGCTTAAAGAAGTTAATTATGGTAGAAAAAGAATTAGGTTACAACATTAAAATGCTACCATGGTTACTAAGAGTTTAACTTAATTCAAGAACAACACAAAGAACTTAGGGCGCACAAACAAACCTACAAACCCACCAGGAATCATCACTACAAGACTTATGGTACAAGAAAAATAAAAGACTAAGCCCGGCCAACAAGTCATAATTACTTAAATAAGCATTTAACCACAACGTGATACAAATAAACAGCATCAATAAGTTTTCCAAGAAGTTAAGCGTGAATCCACAATTGGTCACATGCAATAGAATCCTATGGTCTTTAGCTATTCTACCGGCACTAATACTCCATCAAAATATAGTAATAAAATTTTTTAGTGAAAGTAAGTGTATAAGTGAATACAAAGACATGAAACCTAAGATGACAATATAAATACATTATAAGCCTAAGCCACAAGAGGTCCGTTAGGCTGTGTACACTTATGCCTTAAGGTGCTTTCCCTTACGTCGAGTTGAATTAGAATGCTCTCATGAAAACAGTGAAGAACAATGGTTTGAGATATTTAAGTCCTAGTAAGTGGTTCCAAAAAATTATAAATATGAGAAATAAAATAGATTGAGGTATTATATTTAGGACCAGATTTGATTTCCTAATTAACTATTATATGAAGTACCAAATGTAGTGTTATGTTAATTATGATTTCAATTGATCTTGATTCAACTATGATTAGTCCACTGATCCTTGAATTATTGTCACAGTCAATTTAGTTATTAGTCCACTGGTCCTTGAATTATTGTCACAGTCAATTCAGTTTGGTCTAGTTTTCAGTAACTTGGAAATAATATTCACCTTTTCTTTTATGCTAAAACTGTTAATTAAATAGATTATGCAAAAGTACACTTTAATTTTTAACTTCAGGCAAGGTTTCTTTTAATGAAAAATTTTAATTAAGGACCATAGTAGCTAGTTTATTTTAAACAGCCTCCAAAACATTCTGAAATTTCAATGCAGGACTTAGGGACAAAGTGAAATTAATGATAGAAAACAAAAGACAATAATGCCCTTGTTAATTGTTGCTTGAAATTTGAAAAGAAGAGGGTTGAAAATATGAGAAAATTTCATCCCACTTTTCCCTCTCACTAAAAAATATCACTCACATTCCCTATTCTTTCCTTTCACAACTTTTGCATCTCTCCCTTTCTGAAAACTCTCAAACATGCTTCAACGGTTGAGAGAGATTCTCGTCATCGCCATTGTTCTCGTGTAGCCATTGTCATGGACAAAAGAGGAAACTTGAAAGGCCGTCGCTTTGGTGTGTGATAGTTGGTACAACAAAAAGAAGAGGAAGGAGAAAAAGACATCGATTGAAAGGCCATCGACAAAAGAGAAAGGAAAAGTAGAAGAAACAAAAGCCAAATACAAGAGTGAAGTTTGGTGAAGGTAAGCCTCCTTTAATATCTTGAATATTCTATTTGTCCAAGTGGGTTTATTTGGAAGTGAGATAGGCTAATGGACTCCTTTTTGTGAGACTGAATCTTCCAATATTCTGTTAGTATATTAAGAAAAAAATCATCGATTGTTTGGGTCTATTTTAATGATGGATGCTTTGTTTTTTTACTTTTGACAATGTTGGATTATTCGTTTATCTTTATTTTGGTTTTTGTGATGGGTGGTCTATGAATAAAAGTGTGGGTGGGAACATTATGTTTAAGATAAGGTTTGGGCTTGAGAGAAGAACTCAATTTTTGTCATTGTTTTTTGTTTAGTGGCCTAACAATTGAAGTTAGGCAATTTATGAGAAAAAGTAGTGCATTTATGAGTTGATTGTGGCAACTTGATATTTAGTGGCCTAACAATTAAAATTAGGCAATTTATTAGAATAATTAGTGTATTTACAACTTGATTGTAACAACTTCATGCATCATCCTATAACAAGTAAAGTAGAGAAATTTTCAATGATAATTAGTGTATTTACAAGTTTGGAGTTTATTTAACAAATGGAGTGGCATGTAATGGATTTGATTGTACTATTTAGTGTACTTATTAATGAAATAGTAATTATTGTGTGAAGGCTTAAAAAGATGACAAAGAAGAATCTAGAAGTTATTGGGTGGAAGATATTTAAGGCTGAATTTTAGGGAAATAACAAAGAGGAGATACATAGGATGAAAGCAATATCAAATCCTACATCAGAAGTGTGGAAGAAAATGACAAATATTGAGAAGGAGCCATATAGAAAAAAGAGAAAAAGTTGACACAAGAAAAGAAGAAGAAATATGTGACACTATTTTTGACCAGATTTTTTCCATCTAAATTCAAGGAAGTGGCTAATTTTGTCCAGGGGAAAACAAATTTAAAGAATATGGTAGAAAATTTAGGGTTTGGGAAGCTATTATATATCATGCTGAAGAAGATTCCAAGAGATTTATCTGTGGAGGTTATATGTTCATATGATCCTCCCACAAAATAACTGACCATAAGGGGGAAGACATTAGCTATAAAACTTAAAGTGGTGAAAGCATTAATGGGCTTACAAAATAAAGGTTTAAAAGTGAAGTTAAATTACTTAAAGGATGAGGTGAAAGAGCTGAAGAGAAAACATACGCCATTGACATATACTGAAGTTGGGGAAAAGCTAATGAGTAAGAAAGATGATGTAATGTTTGAGTCCTATTTTGTTCTCTTTACACCGGGAACTTTTCTTTATCCTACCGAAAATGCAAGTGTTAGTGAGAAAGTGTTAAAAGTAATGGCTTGCACAGAGAATACGTGGATAGAATTTCATTGGGCAACATTTGTGCTTGATAAAGTCAGTAATGAAATACAATGGTACAATATAGGCAGTAAAG